GTTTTCATCGATGAGAAATAAATTTTTGCTGGTATCCTTTGTACATCGTTTATTACGAAATTATTTTTTTTTCTCTTTCAAAGTTTACAATTTATATAATTTCGTTCAAAATATTCACAATGATCGTACGTATTCGTTTAAAAAAAAAAAAACAAAAACAAAAGATAAATCGCAGTGCGTTTAGCTCCTGTACGTTTTAAACAATGCGAAGATTACCTCGTTACACGATCGAATCTTCCAAGTTTGATTTGTACAATATTCACGTATAATAATTTTATTTTACAATAACACAATATTTATACATTTATTCTATACAGTTGTCTATACACGCATCAGCGTTTCACCAAACCAAATCGTTTTGGTATAGTAACACGCTGTTATAAGAGCAAGTTTGATAATCAGAAAATGGCACATATCCGACAGATTTAATGCAAATTTTTGTCTGCATACAAACGTAACACTCGACGTGATAGAATTAAAAGATTGTTACTCCAAATTTTCGATCTATTTTTCGATCTGTTTCGTGTAGTAAAATATCCAACGTAAGTGTTACTTTACTAGGATAAATTTCGACCAAAATGGACGATATTTATAATGCATTCGTAAATACTTTGTAGAATCGAGATAAATGCAATATATATAAAGTACTAATTCTAGGAATTATCACAAAAAATTCAATTTTATTGCTAAATATAACATTTTTTTTTCTTTACATTTGAAAAATACTGTACTTTTTTTTTCTATGCGTAAAAATAATTTATCCCGCGACTGTTTATTTCATTATTATGTCGACGACAAAAATCAAACCAACTCTTGCAAGGTATTTATTCTAAGGTACGTTACCGTTTCGTAAGCTTAAAATTTACGAGGAAAGAATACAGTTAGTGCATACCTTTAAAAAAGTATTATTGTTAACAAGTATACAACGTAATATGATTTAGTTAATTGAAGTGCAAACTTAGTATGACTAGCTTTAATAAGGAAGTGGAATGGTAAAAGAATTGGTATAGTAAATTCCTATCATTCTCGTGACAATTAAAAATATTTCTATGTATAACACACCGCAATATTTAAATATCGATTATCCAAATTGAATTTTCTTTAAGGGGAAGGGTAAACGTTTGATTATTTTTGCATTTGTTTTTCTATAACATGTTTTTAAATATGTTAAAATATAGGTCAAAGTGTTTTTAAAATACTATTTTACATACTGCTTTTTTGTGTTCTACGAAATGTGGGACTGATTGTTACGTATAAATTATTATAATTTTCAATTAATTCGGATAACCGCAGTCTATTCGTATATATGTATTTCGAAATACATATTCAAATTAAAGTACGTTATATTCTACGATACACGGTCCCTTCAAAACATTAATTTGTTTATACGCGAAACCATCTAAACGTTATTATGAAAACTTTCAAACAAACTGTTAACAAATGTATTCTTTGGAAGAATTATTATTAAATACTATAGAAATTGCGAAATTGTCTACTGAAATACAGAATGAATAGTATTTCATAATCCTTAGTAGGAAACATTCCAGTTATATAAAATAATTTATCTGTACAAGTTTTAATGCAAATGCAACATTTGTATCGAAATTGTTTAAGACTCTGATTACGACTTTGGACTGGAATTATACGTTTCGAACACAATTCGTTGTTACAAACATAGTAGCAACTATGCATAGAGAAATACAAATAGGTAGCTTTTTATACGAAAGTCATTAGTTTTACAGAAACATAATGATGTCCTAAGTGTAATGCAATTAGCTTAATGCAGTACTACTTACTCGAGGCCTAGGCCCCAATTGATACCTTGAACTAGAAACAAAATTAATGGTTGCCAAGCAACCAACCACCTGATCCAGTCGAGCAACTGACCGTACAAAACATGAGGGCGCTCCCATCTTTATTCGTTGTTAAGGTACACACAGAATATAATTATTGACTTGAGAAACTGTTTGAAAAAAAGGATACGGATTACGAAACATTTTTGTAAGATTGACTTTTTCTTTACAATATGGACACGTTTGTTTCTTTCCCACAATACACCATCCCCTAATACAAAACTCGTGGAAAACGTGTTCACAAGAGAGCTTGTATGTATTCTCTATTACACCAGCTTCGTGTTCTGACACTAAAAGTCTGTTCCCGCATACAGCACACACACCAGGTTCTAAAGTCCTTGTAGGCATTTGGCCTGGCACATAATACTGTAAATTATCTAATATATTGCATTATGTTTTTTTATATTGTTAATGTAGTATTCTATTGTTTTTCTACGTACTCCGACTTGCGAGGCCATTTTATCCGCGCAGATCTCGGCAACGTCTCTTCCTAACACTCCAAAATAAACACCATAAAATAATAAAAGTACACCAAAATCCATCCATATCTGAGGCTTGACTTCAAATACGAGATTCAAGCCAAAAAATGTGGCTAATATAATAACATAACTAATTATACCCAACACATAACTGAGTTTGTAAATGAATAGAAACCATTTGTATACCAATCTGTAACAAAAAAAAAGGTTAATTAAATTTTTTAATTTAATATAATGCATATAAATTTATACGTTATAAATAATAATAAGCACATACCTTGGTGTTGTACCAGCAATAGGCTTCTGAATAGCCTTCCTTACTATTAGTCCAGTTATGCAAGAGGACACTAACCATAGAAATATAAACCTCCACCAATGATTTTTTAAACATAATACAAAAGGAATAATCCACATAGCGACTAATGTAACAAGCTAGAAGGGGATATTATATTTTTTAAACACATCAAATGGAGCGCATTTTGATTTCAGATAGAGAAGATAATTTCAATTTACCTGATATGATTTATAATACAATTTTTTCCACTGAACTAAAACAACCTGTGCTACTAATAATGTTACTAATAAAATAAGCAGCATTTCTACATGCATGGATTCGTGACCCTGGTGCTGCTCGTGCATTTTTATATGTTCTACCCTGAAATAAAAGAATTATACGTTCAGATTAGCAATTTAATTAGATCTAATAATTTCAAAAAAATGATTAAGAAGTATGTTAAGAACAAAATGATAACACCTGCAAACTTTGTACAGGATTTAACATATTGATTAAACATTTTTTTATAATATTAACTGTATGATTTTTTTCAAGTAACTCGTTACACTGATTATTAAAAATACATATTATTAATTACCTCCATTTTTCTTCCGGCGTTAACTCATCCTCACTCTAAAATAAAAAAAGATTTAAGTAACATAAACATTTAAAGCACAGTTGGTTATTTCCTATGGAGAAGTATTAATACTAAAATATCGCTAGGTATAAATAAATTCTAATTGTCTGTAAATGGTAAATATCGCGAAAGGGAAGCAATACTTATTGAAGTTCGAATTTTACTTAAATTAATTGTTGTCCTTGGAGGTTATATGTGTACAAGCATGACAACATGTAAAATATTATTACAAATACCATAAGAATGGTTTTATTTGGAATAATAGTATACCTTATTGGGGAGCACGTGAGAATGCATATTTAATAATATATTGAGCTGTCACTTATAAAATAGATTCTAACAAAGTGACATAATAGAGGCAACGCTTTTTCGAGACATCGTGAAGTACTATTCACATTGATGCAAATATGACACGTAGCTACTCGTCAGGTATGAGTTGGATTATTTACATTAGCAACTAAGGCTTCGTGGACAAATATCTCGTCATGAAATTATTAGATTAAATATTTCAAATGTAATTAAATACTTTGTATTAATTTGCAATGAAAATAAATGTAATTTCAATTTATCGCAGTAAACCGACTGTTCATATCATATAAGGAGCATCCAGAAAGACTACTGCTCCACTGAGCCGCTCACTGAGCGTTATAGTGACGCCATCGGTGGCAAAACGCCCAAGTTTGTAGTGAAAATAGTTCTCACTAATCCTATAAGGTGGCGCCAGTAATACTTTTCCAAAAAAATATCATTTATTTTTCATAAATGCATGATTAATACGATTCATTGCTTTATAATACCATAATATATTAGTTAATGTGTCAAATTTGTCATTTTTATGTGTAGATTTTTAATGCAACCATAATTATCGACCCTTTAGTTAGTCGCGCTATCTAGGAGGAACAGTAGGAACTATTTTCACTATGAACTTTGGCATTTTGCCACCGATGACGCCACTGATAGTAAAGTTTGCTAATAGAGCAGCTTAGTGAGCGGTGACCTTTTCAGATGCACCTGGATGCACCCATTGATAGCGTCACACGTCATCTTTCAATTTAAATTTAACTTGCAAAGCTTCACGATCCGACAGTAAACTTTTAATGAATGGAATAAATATCGTCACAATTTCATGAGAAAGGTTTAAAATATAACGATATATACAATTAAATAGAAAATAAATGACTTGGAAGGATTAGTTCCATACTATGTATGTATTCATTCCTTTTAATTTCATTTAACATTATTAATCCAGTATGTTGTGTGCCAATGATAATTATAATATACATATATTAATAGATTTAAACAAATATATTTCACACATTTCTAATGTTAAACACTCGTGTTACTTGTTACGTTCCTAGTTCTAAAACAAAATTAAACCCCGAAATACTTGTTGATTTCTACAAAAATCCTCTTCTACCAAGACGTCGAATTAAAGATGATTTCGTCTCAATCATCAAATCAATCGCTAAAAAAGAGTAATTTCATTATTTGACATTTTTCAATTTCAATCGTTCTCGTACTGTTTGTATCTGGTCCACATTACACGCGAAATGTTCGATTCGCCGTTCGTAGTCCGCACAAATGTGAACGCGTCGTCGAATCAACCAATGCGCATCCTTCGTCCAGTTTCGCGTCCCGTCGGTTATCAACGGCGTTAAACCACGCCCATCGGCTGCTAGTCAGAGAGGGAAGCTGGTAATTCACTCCGCAAAGCAGCAATATGAGCGTTTGTACCGTTTCTTGAGAGAACCGCGCGACGTGACGAAATTCCATAGCCGTAAAATCGCGCGTCGAAAGTGTCATCCGATTGCGCGCCGTTTGCGGATACAGTGAGTGATACAGTGTCGTGATTGGTTTCGCTTCGTACACGTGGATACGATTTTTGGTTAGTTTTCTCCAAGCATCGAAAAGGATATCCGCCGCTTGTCGGTTCATTTGCCTCGAGGAATTGCTTTCGGTGAGTAAAGTACCCGAGCGTGCACGAAAGCCCGCGTGTTTCGTGACGTTTTTTTTTTTCTACATGTCAAATGTTCCCACATATTGCTGACAGATTGAGCGAGGACTGTTCGCCAACGTACTCACATGTCGACGTCTTTAACGTGGAAAAACGTCATATGCGAGCGTAGCTCGGGCCAATCTCGTTCAATCTTACGAAACGGAGTCGTAGTTTCGTGAAATGTTTTTTCTTCCGAAAATCTTTCATCGAACGAATTGGGTGGGCAATACTGTTTCATTCTTTCGGAGTTACAGTGGGTGTAGAATGTATTGTACAAAATGTATTCGTACACCGATCAATTTCCAAAAAAACTTTTCTGTGAAATTGTAGTTTCTTAATTTCTTTTTTTATAATCAATGATACTTTACATATTCTCGGAAGTCTCTAAGATAGATATAGTCCAAACAACATTTACTAGTCGATATAATTTGTGAAATTAACAAAAAAATGCGAAAAGTGGGGTAAAAGTATAGAAGCAATAAGTATTTGGACGATTCTTATGACGAACCATTTACAGTAGAGTTTGTAACGTAAACACATTAGTTTATTGCTCCGTGGGAATTAGAAAACATCAAATTTCCAGTAAATTACTTTTAAACAGTTGTCCGAATACTTATTGCTTCAACATTTTTATCGATTATTTGTTTTTTTCTTGTTAGTTTCGCAACTTACATAAATAACTATTTCTTTTTGTAATCCATCTATTTTAGACATCACCGAGAATATATAGAATGTCATTGTTTATAAAAAATAAGTTAATAAATTACAATTGATCGGTGTACGAATACTTTCTACACCCACTGTATTTCATTTATCGTCGACTGCGATGTTATCAACGACCACGTTTATGGTCACGATTTAATTACAATTTATATGGTATATCGTACTTTCTTGATAAATTTATCTACTAACTCCAACAATTCCTTTCTTTTTGCTAAGAATTAACTGTATGTTATTCGAAAGCTTTGAATTACTCCGTTCTTTTACTCCGCGTGTTTACTATTCGGAATCTAGTAGAAACGTAGGTCAGAGCGACTTGGAAATTTGTTAGTAAATATTACGCCTCGGTGTAGTCTGTCAGTTGTTTTTTTTTTCTGGCAATTCCGTTTTCGCGATGAGACATCAACGTTTGAAGATAACCCACATCCTCTGTGTAACCCAATCGTGCGATTTACCTGTAGCCAGCAGAGATCTTTTAGCTTCTTTAGCTTTTAGCTTGAGAATTGACGGTTTCTACTCTTACGCGGATCAACAATTGCTATACAATTTAAACTATTGAGATATAAACGGGAACAAACGATTCTAAAGAATAAAGGGAAAAAACAGATTTCAAAAATCTCAATGTCGGGTGCTGACCATTTTTTGAATTTTGTTTTATTATTAATTGACGAAGGTACGAACGAAACTATTGGTAGTGCAATCAAGTACAAACGAAATACTATCATTTTCTATAAAAAAAAATTCATTTTTGAAAAGTCGGGTATCAGGTTCACATAGCTTTTCTCCCCAAAAAATCTTCACCTATTCATATAAAAACTTTACCGAGATAACATTTGATTTACGACTCGCTCGTTATCTAGATAAAGATATGTCCAACCACTCCAATTCCGTGTTGAAAAAGTCGCCTCGGTATATACCTATTTGGCAAGGAAAGAGAGACGAAATAGGTCGATAGTTCTACATTCGGTTTCCATTTGACTTCTAGATCGAATATCGAATCGTAAATTACACTTATCTGTCACAACGTATCTAGAATTTTTCCGTAGAAAGCGTATATGTTTAGCGTCAAGTACCTTAACCTGTCATTCGTTATTCCTATTCAAACGATTCACTTCTATCGGCGTATCATTGCGTACTTTATTCAATCAGTTACCTTTCATTGATAACGTGCACACATCGCGTGAATCGCATGTCCACTTTTAAGAACATTTTCATTTTAACGCGTCGAAGTCGAGAGGTAATATAAAATCTTCGAGGACCATTTTTCTTTTTCTATCGAGGAATATTTTCTCTCGTAAATAATAGAAGTGATCCCCATACGTTATTTATCGAAGTGTGCTCCATTATAACCGATACGAAAAATAATTTTGATAGCCAATTTTAGATTTTGACCGAAATCGACGAGCCACTCCCTTGCGAATTCTTCAAAAAATCGGTCTCCCATTTTCAAAAAATTTACTCAACACTTTAGAGAAAAACCTCCCATATGTTTTTTGTATAGTTCCATGAGATTTACTATGAGAAAAAGTTTCACTCTAAAATGTTCATTATTGAAACAGCTAGGAATTTTTGAAAATCAATCACCTTTCTACATATATTTCACCCAAAAAGAACTAAAAAATGGACGCTACTGGTAGATTCACATTTTATTTAAATTCTTCACCTAATGACTCGCAGTTTCTCGTTTCGACGATTAAAATCCGTTTACGCGATTAATAGCAATTCGAATTAGTAACGATTTTAATTCGCGTTCGCGGAAAAATTGAATGGCCGGCGAATGTATGTTACGTTGGCTTCTAGTTCACACTAAATAAGTCAGGGAACTCGAAAGGAGCAAAATCCTCGTAGCCACGACCGTTTAGATGTTGTATAAATTGGCAACTATCCAAGTTTCCGTACTCTCACCACGTTCTCAGTGTTGGGACCGCGCTATCACATTCCTTGTTCGTAGTATACGTGCGTGCTGTCTTTCCGCATGATTTTGTGCTAACCATTTCTGCAGAATGATTATTTACGGCTTTATAATGCCATGTATTATATACTTATAATTGTGATCGTATCTAATCGTATTATAATTTGATTAGTTTATTAGAATGATAACTTGTTGAATTGTAATAACAATTCAGAAATTAACCAAATGAGATGGAGCAGTACAGAAACAATTGAAACGAGTAATTAGAGCGAAGAAGCTAGCGCAAATAAATAATGTTGCGGTGAATCCAAACAATAAGTAATGGTTGCAAAATTCCATGATACGTTGTTTAAACCTGGTTTCGATTCCTGCTGCGCGGGCAATTTGTCTTACATTTCTTTTAAAGTTAAATGTAGCAGCATGCCCCCCTTTTTCAGGTTCTCTTATAGCTCGTGCTCGACCAGTCTTCTTTTCTCATATATTTTAGGATCTCTTAAAAGGTTGTATACCACGGTACCACTGCTATTCACTAGTTTAGCGACTTCGTGATACTGTAATTTCCTGAACGTAGAAGCTGAATTCGATCGATTTCACATCATTCAAGGGAACTTTCGTCGACCCAATTTTCAATTCTCTTCTAAATACGCGAAGACTCTGATACTTTCGTTAAAAAAAAAAAAAAAAAAAAAAAAAACGTTTTACTATCCCTTTCGTACGGTACGCAATGTTTCTTTATTTTTTTACGAGTTTTCTTACTCGAATAAAAATTTTGCCCGGAGTTAGAATTAAATTAATTAAATTATTAATATTTCCGCGAACGCGAATTAAAATCGGTACTAATTCCAATTACTATTAATCGTGCAAACGGATTTTAATCATCGAAACGGGAAACTGCGAGTCATTGAGTGAAGAATTTAAAAAAAATGTGAATCTACCGGTAGCGTCTATTTTTTAGTCCTTTTTGGGTGAAATACATATATGTAAAAAGGCGATTAATTTTCAACGTGTCTCGTCGATTTTGGTCAAACTCTAAAACTGGCTATTAAAATTATTTTTCACATCCTCGGTTATAATGGAGCACGCTTCGTTGACTATTAATCGCGTAAACGGATTTTAATCGTCGAAACAGGAAACTGCGAGTCATTAAGTGAAGAATTTAAATAAAATGTGAAACTATCGGTAGCGTCTATTTTTTAGTCCTCTTTGGGTGAAATATAAATAAAAGGGTGATTGATTACCACTGAATATATTCTGACGGTGTGCTTTAAAGAGAGTATATTAATTCAGTATACTAATTACGAATATAAAACTAGTTTGTGATATTTTAGAAGCTAACAAAATTTCCATGAAATGAAAATTTCACGAACCCCCGCTTCGTATAAATGAGAAAAACAATTTGTGGATGCCACGGTTGCATGCGTACAGACTAGGTTTATATAGAATGAACGATTGCGGCAATATACTAAATCAAGAAAAAACGATAACACTGTCGCTATCGGTTCTGATTACCGCGATTGATACAACAAACGTTCTAGCCACGTGTCGCGTTCTAGATACCTTAGCAAACTCGGTGGTGGAAGTGGATTTAATGGAAAATTTCGCAATTTAATAGACAGGGGTAAATCGTGTTCAATGGAAAAAGCAATTTCGTCGAGATTACATGTCAATCTACCCTCTGCAACAAAGATTCGACAATTCCGGCAAAATCGTTTACTTTTGTAATTAACGTTGCAAAATGCTTTTAATCGAGCGCAAAGAGGAAATGGAAAGTGCTCCTGTGATATTGTCGTTATTATGTTTGGGACGTGCACACGTGTGGCTCTCACTTTGCTGCATTTTGATTTCCAATTTTAAAATCCAACTAGCAAACCAGCACTGGAAGTTCTGCATTCGTTAACTTTTTTTTTTTTTTAGACATTTATTTTTATATAGAAGAGAATATTTTTTTTTAATTTCTTCTTAACGTAAATTTTGTTACGTTACTGTACTAAACTCACTGAACTTCGTTAAAAATATATAATTTATTACTTGTACATATATTTACGTTACTGATAATTCTTTATAGAGAATGCTCGAATAAATTAAATGAAAATAATGTGGAAAGTGAATGTGATTAATTGTCAGAGACAATCCATTGCAAACGTTTGTATTTTCTCATAAATATTAGGTAGACTGGAAAGTAATCTCGTTTTTGCAATTTTAAATCCTTGTTTATCACTCAACAGCTCGTTGATTTTGATCGATCATTGAAAATTTGCACACTAGGTGACTGTTGATAACGAGGGCGATTACATAATTGCTTAAAAATAGAGATTTGTCAAAAATTTGT